TTTGAAATCAGCTGTTTCAGTTTTCACGACCACTAACCATGCATTTCCATGAGTCGGTTTTGGTTGTCTTTCGGCCGCTCATTTAGATAAAAGCGCAGAATGAAGATTGGCATGTCAAGAGCAGAGCTGCTGTGAAGAAACAGGACTGGTTTACGGTACCATAAGTTCGATTTATGTTTACCCAATTTGAAGTTGCCTACATTCGGTACCCTGGATTGAGCGTGACTGAAGAATTCCACAAATTGAGAGTACTGCTCTAAATACTGGATTAACCTGAAACACAAAAATAAGCGAATATCTTTGCATCCAGTGTTTAACCATAAAACAACCAACTGACCTTAGATTTCGTTGATTGGCAGGTCAGGTAAGTGAGAGAAAATCAGTAATTTACTGGATGAATGGAAAAAATCAAAGGCATACCAACATGATGTAGAAGGAGACAAAGGCAAACAAAAAAGATCTCATTAAGTGACAATTTCATAGAGTTTTAGAAAGGTCAAATAATCCCTGAGCTATGTTTTCCGCGAACAGGGGCTTACAAACTCACGTATATATGAACAAGTGGCACAAAGAAATAGATGTTGGACTCAGAATGTAGAACAATCAAAATCCGGAAAAATACAGATGTACTGCGGTTCAAGATGAAATGAAGGGTTTAGCTGTTTTAGCCATAAATTCTGCAAAAAGGTGTTTGTCCATCAGGGATGTATGCGTAAACGCCAGAGGTAGATGTTTCGAGACAGTTCGACGATCTGAAACGCACAAAGTAGGTAAATTATGATGTTGAGCATTAGAGGAAGAGGTAGGTGACATCACAGATATGAAGGAAGTACTGGCAGTCGCCTAGCATACATGTTCGAGTGAAAAGTACCAGTCCGGAAGGCAGTACATTGGAACTGTACCACTGCTGGATGACTTCGGAAGTAAACGGTCGTAAAGTGGGTGGCCCAAAGGTCATGTGTTTTCTCTACGCCTACTTTCGCCATTTTTGTATCACTTTATGCAGTCTTTGATTCGACGCAGCTCGCTTCAAGAGAACTGACTGTACAACTTTATTCTCGACAAATAAAATAAAATATTATACGTTGTTTTTATTTGGATTGATATTGAAATATTTTAAATCTCGGATAATAGAAACAAAATTCCAGGGGAAATGTATGGCTCGTTTGCATCTTTGCATATCACGCTCCAAAAAACAGTCATACAAACACAATACGTTGTACTAATAACCTCTGGGCTTTTCATTTCAATCCGGTTGAAAAGAACTTCATTGCGAAAATGAAATACAGATAAATATCTTTATTATGAGCAACTAAAGAAACACTTCTCTTATTCATGTTTAATATTTCTTTTTTCTACAACAACCTCATCTACTCTTAGTGCCGATTTCTTCACCAAAGGAATCTTGACTTTTTCGAGTATTGCATTACACGATCTGCTTGAGGTACTGCCCAATCGCAGCAAGCATGTTCACCGACTAAAAAATACAGTGCTGCTAGTGGATATACCCAAAATGGACTCGCAATAATTTACGCTTTCCTTCAAATGGCCGTGATAGTGGACTCGACGTGTAGAAAATCTAAGAGTCCAAATCTTTGGTACGCTTTACACTCATAGACCAATGTAACGTATGACGTGGAATATGAATGCACAGAAAAAGGAACCTTATTATTTTGCCCTAAAATATCAGTGTCGAAGAACGGTGTACCTTGAGAAAGCGTACATTTCCAGTCACATCAACAAATGACAACTATCTTCTGCAAGATGATAAGGTCGCTCCTCAATGGGCAAGATTTGTTCAGGAATTCGGAAAAATTCTCCGATACAAATATTGTCATGGGCAGAACGCTTATCCGACATGAAACCCACTGAACATGAGTGGGATTATTTGGTAAGAAAGTGTCACCATAACATTTACGGATCGGCAAGTGGTCCGATCCTATTCTGAACAGAAATGTCCCAGATGTTCAGCGAAGAGTATGACAGGAATAGTTGGTGAAAGGGATGTAGTGGAAAATGAATCTATTAGAATCTGCCCGCAAAGAACACGTT